GAACCAATAAAAACAAAACAATGAATGCAATACAGGACTTCAAAACAAGAGAATAGTAAATCCCAAATGGCTACTATAATATATCTTGTCATCTTTGAAATAGCTGCCTATGCCATCAGATACAACAAAATCAAACAAGACAAAACAGAAGAAAAACCAACCAAACAAAACAATGAGAATGATACAGGATTTCAAAACAAGATAATAGGAAATTAACAATGGCCACCACTTCAGAAGATTCCCTAGATGCTACAGTGTGTATTGTGATCCTCTGATCAGACTACCAGGCTTCAGGCCTGCAAAGTCAGTGAAACACTAAACACTGCAAGCATTAAATTATATTTTACCTCAATAACTATCATCGCAGTCAGCCTTTCTTTGGATCAGCTAGGGTGGGAGACATAGGTTCTTGATTCCCTGCCCATGGCCGGAAAGGGCTGGCATCTGGCTCTTCACCAGTCAGCCTGCACATGGTGCTGGCTCCCAGGACTTAGCCTCTCAACTTCTTGTTCTTTTCCCCCACATCCCATGAATCTTTAGGAAGTTATTTTTATTTTTTTGGTACCAGGGATTGAACTCATGACTTTGCGCTTGCCAGGCAGGCACTTATACCACTAAGCTAAATCCTTGGCCCAGGAAGTTATTTTTACATTTGTTTTTTTTTTTTTTTTTTTTTTGGTCTTTTTCATTTTTATCGGTACCAGGGATCGAACTCACGACTGCCTGATTGCAAGGCAGGCACTTATGCCGCTGAGCTAAATCCCCAGCACACGGAAGTTATTTTTAGATACTACTTAATTAAAATTATTTACAAATAGTTCTTAAAAAGTGGTGTATATGGGGCTGGGGATTTAGCTCAGTGGCATAAGCACCTGCCTTGCAAGCGTGTGGTCATGAGTTCAATCCCCGGTACCGATAAAAACAAAACAAAACAAGTGGTGTGTATGATTAAAAATCAGCACAAAAAGGAAAATCAGGTGATGTACTCCTGTATTTCCAGCACTTAGGAAGCTGAGGCAAGGAGAATCTGTTTGAGGCCAGCCTGGGCTGCAAAGTAAGTTCAAGGCCAGCTTGAACTGCATAATGAAATCTTGTCTCAAAAAAGAAAAAGAAAGAAAAAAAAAGCATCAAAGCAATTATTTGCTGTAGTTCCCTGCTCAGCAATGAGTCTTTGTCACCTTTTTTTTTGTGTGTGTCTTTTTCTTTTCTTTTTTTTTTTTTTTTAATCGGTACCAGGGATCGAATCATGACTGCTGCTTGCAAGGTAGGCGCTTGTATGCCGCTGAGCTAAATCCCCAGCCCCTTTTTTCACCTTTTGACTGATTCTTCCATATGACTAAATATGCTTACATCAGTACTTTTTTTCCTTTTTGTTGTTTTACTCCTATGTGTATATGTTTTTTAAAATGTACTAAAGCAGGACCTTACCAGGCATAGTGTTTGGTCTTAAAATGTTGGAGACTTTTCCTTATTAGCATATATAGATCTTCTTTGTTCTTTCCATAGTAATCCATTTGCAGCTATCCCCACCTTGTTTTCTATTGATGTGCACTTAGGTGGTTTTCAGATTTCCACTTTTACCAACTAAATGTAATGGATTAATACTGCACATATATCCTTGCATATGTGTGTGCGTATATCTGCAGATAAACCTCTAACGATGAAATTCCTGGGAATGTACGATATATGTTTTTATAGATACTGACAAATTGCCTTCCAAAATGGTCATACCAATTCACTATTTTTTTTTTTTTAAGATAAAACATTTTATTCAAGAACTGTTGCAACAGGGCCAGTGATTTAGCTCAGTGGTACAGGGGCCTGTCTGTCAAGCATGAGGTCCCGAGTTTGATTCCCAGTGGTACCCCACCCCTCCAAAAAACCATTACAATAGAGGAAAACAGAACTAAGTGTAGATCTAGGTTCTATTCTGAATACAAGGACAAGTGGAAATTTATTGTCAGCAGAGGAAATACTAGACTAAGAAGAGGATTCAGGCTAAAGTGATTCGTTAGATTCTTGCTGAGAAGATTTTTATATATTTTCATCATCACTGTTTAAAAAACCTGTGACCATGTATAGTTCTAAATGATGAAAAAAACTTTTTTGAGGCAAAGTCTCATTGTAGTTCAGGCTGGTCTTGAACTTGCGGCAATTCTTTAGCCTTGTTTATTGTTTTTATTTCTATGTGTAATTAAAAAGATTGAGAGCTGGGTGTATAGCTCAGTGGCACAATCTCCTGCCTGGCAACTGTAAGGTCCTGAGTTTGCTCCCCAGTACCAAAAAACAACAAAAAAGTTGAACAAGTTTTCAGGTGCTTATCTGCCATTATTTTCTGCAAATGTCTTTTCTGATACTTTTGAGAATTATAATAAAATTAGTTCGTCATGTACACTGCAAATAGTTTTCCTAGTTTGTAAAGCAACTGTGTTGGACATTTCTTTCTTTTTTTTTGCCATAGTCAAATTTATTGATTTTTCTCCTTATGGCTTTTAGGTTTTATTTGTAAAGCACTTCAATTTTAAAATTGCTTTTATACTCTAATATGTTTATGGTTTTTTCTTTACTTAAAAATATTTCACCCAAAATCCAATTAAGCAGCAAAATCACTATTACTTCCTGTCCAGGGTGACAGCCACAACCTGTACCAGCTCATTCTGCCTTTCTGAATGTGCAGACACCCAGGCCTATGTGTCCTTTTCTCCAGAGAATGCTTTCTCTCTTGTCCATAATTCTACAAGCTATTTTCCTTGCAGATAAATTCAAATCTCACTACAGTCTTCCATGCCAATGTAGCCGTAGACTTTTCCTTCTCTAAAGCTCATATGATCACTTATCTTGTATAAGCCTCTCCTTTTCTCAGTTTTAACCTATTTGCTAATTAACGGGATCTACTCTTTAGAAACCTGGGGTTATTTAATAGTTTCTTTCCTAGTGCTGTAGTAGCTAAAAGCATGCAAAGTATATGAAAGGACTTGGACATAGTACTTTTCTTGGTGCTCTGGGGATTAAACCCATGGCCTTACATTGAGCTACATCACCAGCCCTTTTTATCATTACTTTTACATTTTGAAACAGGTCTTCCTGAGCTGCTGACTTGGAACTTGTCACCCTCCTGCCTCAACCTCCCAAGTAGCTGGTATTACAAGTATGTGCCACTGAGCCTGGCCACTATTCTTCCTTTCTTCATTTGTTGAGGTGGTTTTGAGAACTGAACACCATCACTACATTGCAAGCTCTTTTTAAGCTGCCTTGGAACTTAGGATCTTCATGCTTTAGATTCCCAAGTAGCTAGGATTACAGACAGGCATATAGCACTTGACTCACAATACTTCTTAATTTGCCATGAAATTGTATGTACTAGCCACATGCAGCTAATGACCATCAGGAGTCTAGCTGGTCCAATGGAGATGTGCTGTAAAGTATAAAATACATATCACAGCTATTTTGAAGAAAACAAGACATTATGACAGTCATTTCTGATTTAGTATCATTTTGCTTTGAAGTCCTACCATGCTTTTGTTCTTTTCATTGGTTCTATCATGTTGTATCTTATTGGATTTTAATGTGCATGATAGTATAAACAAATTTTTTTATGGAAAATGAGATAATATAGTACCCATAGTTCATTTTCGGTTATTTGGTTCTTAATGCGCTGTAATACTTTTATTCTCTTGAATGGTTTTGTACTATTTTGTTGTTTGATACTACTGTATGTGAAGGTATGCTCAATTATTTCAAAGAAAGAGACATTATGGTAACTACTGTTAATATCAGGTTGTCTTGTGGTGAAGTACTGTGTTGCTTAGATTGTTTGGTTCTGATCTCCTTTGTTCTGTCCTATTTTGTCTAAATCTCTTTAAAAAAAAAAAAAAAAAAAAAAAGTCTGGGCTGGGAGTATAGCTAAGCAGCACAAGTGCCTGCCTGGCAGGCACAAGGTCCTGAATTCAATTCCTGATACAGAAACAAAAAGTTAAGTCTATCCAAGGTCACTTTCTAGTTTTTAATACATCAAGAAGGCTCATCATTGCTTGGTGTGGATGCCTAAGACAGGATGACTTATGGATAAATAAGATCTTAATACACAAATGAACTGGACCCTAATTCTTTCCCTGCAACCATGTAATTTATAATTTTTTTGTTTCAGAACAAAACATGTTGTTCAAATTTCTGACTGCCCTTGATGTAGAAAGACTAATGGGAAAAATATGATGGGTTATTTCAAATCATCAGATGGGAAAGATACCTTTTAAAAGTATTAAAATAAATGTTCCTACTGTATATTTAAAATTTAAAAAAAAAAAAAAAAAAGATGATCTTTTCTTACAGCCAAAGTTATCCTTACCATCTCCAGGGCTCTCAGAGGCCACTATGCAATCACTGTCTTCTTGGTAAAGGGTCATCTTTATGAGCACTAATTACACATTTTCTTCTAAACTGCTGTAGACTTGAGATACAATGGTTTCTTCCAACAGGTCAGATAACTGCTCAGTCAACAGAATGTTACTAGAGAATAGGTCAGGTTTAGATGCTAAAGCATCTCCCAAACCTTTTGGTGGTTCAGGTTTTCTCAGCTAGGCATGGTGGCACACACATGTAATCCCAGCACTTGGGAGGTTGGGGCAGGATTATTACAAGTTCGAGACCAACCTGGGCTACAAAGTGAGCTCAAGGCCAGCTTGAACTGCATATTGAAACCCTGTCACAAACAAACACACACAGGTTTCCTCAGTTAACCATGCAGACAGCCTCTGCATATGTCTTTTGATCACTGGGGCCTGTTTTGTTTTGTTGGGTCTGACCAGGTAGTCCAGGCTTGAACTCATGGTGATCCTTCTGCCTTAGCCTCCGGAGTGCTGGGATTCCAGGTGTGCACAACACCCAGCAATCTGGGACCATTATCTGCCATCGAGTGTTTGGGACAGATGTCATTTAACGTTGTAAGCCAGTCTTCTTGCATTCAGCATTCCTGTATCACAACAAATCATGAGAAGAGTCAGTGGTTTAAAACAGCACAAGTTTATTCTCTCACAGCGCTGGAGACAGAAATCTAAAATCAAGGTATTAGCAGAGTTGTATTTCTTTCTGCTATGTAAGATATTGTTCATAGCTTCCAGAGATGGGTACGTAGACATCTTGGGGTCCATTACTCAGCCTACCACATCCCCATCCATATACATTTCCTTGCCCCTCCTTGGCAAAGGTAATAGGCTGGAGAACCCAGCAGGGAAACAAGGCTGCAAAGTGTTTCTAAAGCGAGGTATTTAGAGGATGGGTAAATTCATCTCTGTAATCACTAGAGATCACTCTGAGACCATTAAAAACTGGCTTTATCTCCTCCATACCTCTTCCTCTCAACATTGGTTCCTTTCAAATGCTGTTGTGATGAAGCTCGACTCCTTATTACTTCCTCAGTCTAAAACACAAATTGTTAGAGCAATAAGTTTTGGGTTTTTTCTTTTTTTTTTTTTTTGTCTTTTTTTGAGATGGGGTCTCACTACGCAGTTCAGGCTGGCCTTGAGCTCACTTTGTAGCCCAGGCTGGTCTCGAACTTGCAACGATCCTCCCGCCTCAGCCTCCCGAGTGCTGGGATTACAGGAGTGAGCCACCACACCTGGCTAAGATGCATGTTTTCTGTGAGATTCTTTTTTCTCTCGTAAGTCTTTGGCCTCACAGACATAAATATCTGCAGCATGCTTACAAAGTATCAGAAGATAATAGCTTATTTTAACACTACATTCTGCAAAATGCCTAATCTCACTTGGGCACAGGAAAATAAATTATTTCAGCTGTTCATGAGTAAACTGGCTACAAGGTACGGAATAGATTGGCAGTAGTGGCTTAACACAGAAACCAGCTACATGGATGGAACGAATGGAACTTATTGAGAGAATTTGGTAGATTTGTAACTATTTCAGTATGGGGAACATGAAGGAAGAACCAACACAGGGAATGATGATTAAAATCATTATTATTATTGTTGTTTTGAGATAAGGTTTCGCTATGCAGTTCAGGCTGGCCTCGAACTCACAGCAATCCCCTGCCTTGGCTTTCCAAGTGCTGGGATTACAGGTGTGCGCCACCACACCTGGCTAACACAGGTATTTTAGCTTGAGTAACCTAATGAATGCCGCCAACTGAGATAGTAATAGTTTGGGAAGAGGACAATGAATTTGCTTTTGGGATATGTTGAATTTGAGACGCATAAGAACTATTTAGGAGGATTATAAGGCAGGAAAAATATTAGTCTGGAATTATGGACCAAGGCTACCAATATATTTAGGAGTGTTAGTATGTAAGTATTAAAGACATTAGAGTGGAAGAACTCACCCCAGGAAAAATATGTAGAAGCCTAGATAGAACCAAAAAACCCCCAAGGATTCAAAGTGTTACCTATTTCTACTTATGTCAGAATCTTGAGGTAACTGTTAAAAACAGAATTCTCATTATGAATGTAATTAATACCATAGAACTGTACACAAAATTGTTAGAATGGTTTTAGGTTACCTTTTACCATATTAGAATGCAACAAAATAGGTTCCTAAGCCTCATTCCTGACTGATCACCACCTTGGGGTCATAATTTAAGGCTTTTAAACATCTTTTAAATGTTAGTGCATGTATCTTTTCTAGTATCGCTAAGTGCTATGTCCAGCCTGGCACGTTAAGAGGCTTGACATGCTCTAGAAAGATAAGATGCTTTTCCTACTAACCACTTTCTTTCTTCATTTCAGACTGGACTAAAATGGACTGGTTTGTTCTATGAGGTTTTGCCCAAAGGCAGGCCCAGAAAGTTTGGAAAATACCTGGGGAAACAAGATCAGATATAAGGATCCCAGGGAACAGACACGTTCCAAAGTTAGCCTTATCCTCAGAGTATCTCCCCAAGCGCCAGGTATGGTGGTACATGCCTGTAATTCCAGCACTTGGGAGACTGAGGCAAGAGGATTGTTGGGAGTTTGAGGACAGCCTGGGCCACACAGTGAGTTCAAGATCAGACTATGCTACTGTCTCAAAAATAAAAATAAATAACTCTCAAAGGTTGGAGATGTGGTTCAACAGTAAAGCACTTGTTTAGCATGCACATAGTGAGTTCCAATCCTCAGCACCACAAAACAGATGAGCCTGGGATTAAGAGTGCCATGCTCTACCAACTGAGCTAGCTGGGCTACCCAGCATGACAAAACAGTTCATTCTCCTCAGGGATTGTCCCAAACAATGGGTACTAGATATTGATTCTTTCTGTTGCATGCCTTGGGTATTTTGCCAAAAGTTTCTGTGAGGTCTTGAAGGTGTCTGACTGTTGCAAAACAGTGAACATAATTCTCAGTATAAAGCCATCTTAATTTTTCTTTCCTGGTTTTCCTGCCCTATCATCTCACTGTCTCCAGAATCTTAATCTGTTCCTTTCTTTCTCTTCTGTCAGTAACTCAGGGATTGGATGAGTCTCTACGGTATTTTTTGCCCTGAAGAGCAGGAGGCTTCGGTCCCAACTAGTATTGCCAAAGCAGCATACTAATTCCATGCCATGATCCTGGGTCAAGATCTGTACAATCTGATTGGCCATGTCACCTCGGATGGCAAGTGAGCGGAAGTGGTCAAAATCATGGAGTCCCAGCTTTCGGAGACGTCTTGCAGCTGCCCGGTAACACTTCCAAGGCTGAGGCTCCACAAGGAGGTAGCGGCAGAGAGAGGAAAGATGGGCTAAGAATTCCCACAAGCCTTGGTCCCCATGATTCAGATGAATCCACATAGTTACTGACATGCAGAAACCAATGTCAAAAACTAAACATCCAAATTGGCTTAAGAAAGAGCTCAAGAGAACCTTCCGGGTCCTTTGATTCATGAAGTCCAGGGTGATAAAGGTCAAGGCATCAGGAAAAGGACATTCTTTTTCAGCTCGTTCCACCAGGACTGGATCTATGTCACAGCAGAGGAAACGCAGTTCTCTGGAGGCATCTGAGCAGGTCTCCCCGTCATCTAGGGAAAGGAAGTGTTTGTATAGAGCCACACTCAGATCCTAGAGGAATCCAAAAGAGCTCTGTCATTGCAGTTCTCAACCAGTGAATGGAAGCGAAAGCTATCTCAGCTTCTCTAAGTCTGCCACTTCACCTTTGACTTTATAGGATGTGAACTCCTAAACTATAAGCAGAGGGAGATTCTCGGCGCCCTCCAGGGGCCACAGGCTATAATGCATCATCCCTACATTTCCCAGACTCAGCAAAGATGCCTCTGACACTATTTTCCTATGTAAGTAATATTCTGGTAAATTCATCCTTTTCTGGATACCTAAGGCCCAAGGAAGAGGGAAAGGGATCCAGAAGCATGATAAGTATCCCTCAACAGGTAGGTGAGGAATTTTACACCTTCACCATATGAAAACCTGTTTCTCAGCCTGTGTTTGGGAAAGTCTGTATTCCAAAAAGTTTTCAATCAGCTACCATTCTATTGCTTTCAATTTTATTATCTTATATTTTACCAACTCCTTCTGAGACATTCTCTACTTCTGTAGCTATTGCTCATAAGGGCCACTGGTTAAATTCTTTCTAGCCAAATCCAATGATTTGTGATTTTCTTCATTTTAGCATCCTTTTAACTCTTAACAGTCGCCATCTACTTTTCCTTTGATTTCTTTGACCACTAAAACTAACTTTTTAAGCCAGGGGCATGGTGGTGCACATCTGTAATCCCAACACTCAGGAGGCTGAGACAGGATTGTTTCGAGTTTGAGGCTAGCCTGGGATACACAGCAAAACTTTGTCTCAATCAATCAATAATAAAAACAACAACAAACCCTAGTTTTATAATCTAGCACTTGGGAGGCTGAGGCAGGAGAATCACCACAAGTTGGTGTATACAGGGAGTTCAAGACTAGCCTGAACTACACAGTGAGACCCTGTTTCAAAACAAACAAACAAACAAACAAACGGGCCAAGGATACAGCTCAGTGGTATGGTACCTGCTTGGCAAGCACAAGGTCCTGAGTTCGATTCCCAGTGCCAAAAAAAAAACCAAACCTGAACCCAAACAAACACACAAAAAAACTAACTTAAATTTGTGTTGTTCTATAAGACATTTTCCATCTTCTTGTTCATTAATCTGCAACCTTTTGTGCAGGTAAGAAAAGCACCATGGAAACCACTTTGATATCTAATAATAGCAGTACAGACAAATGTAACATAGTCACGAAAATGGAATAGCGAATAGCAGTTTGAAATGAAAACTGCAACAACGAGGGCTGGAGATTTAGCTCAGCGGCATAAGTGCCTGCCTTGTAAGCAGGCAGTCCTGAGTTCGATCCCTGATACCGATAAATAGGAAAAAGACAAAAAAAAAAAAAAAAAAAAAAGAAAATTGCAACAACATGAATTATTGTAAACATATATTGCCGGTTTAAAAAAAGCTACAATAAGAAATATATTGCAAGCTTCCACTTATATGAAGTTTAAAATAGGTAAAATTAAATCACATTAAGAATAGAAAATAGTAAACTATTAAAAAAAAAAAAAAAGGCAGCAAACACTAAGGCTAGTTTTTACCTCTTCATGAAGAGGGGTTTTATGAACAGGAAAAGGTAAGAGAGGTTACTAAGATACTGAAAATGTTTTATTCTTGATCTAGACAGTGTTCACAAAATATCTGCTTTATAACAACTATGTCATAAAGTATATACGTATGCTTATGGATTTTTCTGTATGTTTAGAATAGGTAAAACAAACTATATTTTAAAAATTAAGATCCAGGGCTACTGACTCACTTGTCTAAGCCATATGATCAGCCCATGGAAAGACATGATATTCCTTCCTCATATTATACGAGGCTACTCAAATTGGGCATATAAATCATCTAGGTATCATCTTTAGTTCAGATGCTGATGTAGTAGATGGGGGTAAAGGTTAAGACTTGGCATTTCTAATGACATGCCAATTCATGACAATGTTGTAGTTAAAAGTCACACTGAGTTGCATGGCCCCATACTATGCAGTTTAATTTTCTCCCCATTTCTCCATTTATTTGTTTTTCTAGTGCTCTCTGATGTTAGGTGTGGCCCCACATTTAATTAGTCATTTCATCACATAGTCCTTCATCAACCACATCTGTTCATTCTTGAATCCTCAGTTTCCCAATCCTGGAGTCTCCTGGAAGTTTAAGACAGATTCAGGGGCTCAATTTAAGGGCTAAAAACACTCCTGTAATCCCAGCATTGGGATTATAAGGAAAATTAATGGAAGTTTTAGGCCAGCCTGAATTACTGTGAATAGTGAAACACTTTCTCAACAGAACAAAACAAAATATGGCACGTCTAAATAATGGAGTATTACAAAACTGTTAAAAAGATCTGTCAAGCTGGGTGTGGTAGTGGCACATCCCTGTAATTCCAGCACTCAGGAGGCTGAGTGAGGTGGATTACAGAGTTCAAAGCCAGCTTGGGCTACATAGTGAACTCAAGGCCAGCCTGAACTACATAGAAAGACCCTGTCTTTAAAAAGCATGTCATAGGGCTAGGGGTATAACTCAGTGGCAGAAAGTTTGGCTACCATGCTTAAGACCTTGGTTCAGTCCTCAGCATTATAAGAAAAACGTGACACAAATGTCTCCAATGAAATGAAAAGGTCCAAAATAATATGTTATTATTTGTGAAACTAAAGAGGGAATACTTACATACACATAAATGCTGGGCTGGGGATTTAGCCCAGCAATATGAGTGCCTGCCTGGCAAACACAAGGTCATGAGTTCGATACCCAGTAACAAAAAACAACAACAACAAAAAAATGATTCTTATGGAATATGTAATAAATGCTGGTAAACACATAGGATGAAAACCCAAGCAATTATAAACACTGGTGCCACTTTGGGACAAAGGAGGATATGGATGGGATAGAGACTTAATGAAACTAGTCATCCCTTGTTATCCATGGGTAACTGGTTTCAGGACTCTTGAAAATACCCAAGCAAGTTCAAATCTGTTGAACAAAAAGTTTTAGTATTTGCAAATAACCTATACATATTTAATGTGTGTTATCCCTAATTATAATACCCACCACAAAGTAAATGTTATGGAAATAATTCTGGCTGTACTGTTTAGGGACTAATGACAAGAAAAAGCTGGTACACATTCAGTACAGTCACATTTTTTTTTTCAAACATATAGTTGGTTGAACCTACAGATAAAGAACCCTAGAATATAGAAGGCCATATATGTATACACACATACCCATACATACATATATATGTTTGTATTTTGATATTTTTTGCTTTTCAGGTATAAATTTTTTCAATTGCAAAAATAGGAAGTTCCTTAAAATGTAAGTCACAGCAGTCACATGTAATCCCAGCACTCTGGGAGGCTAAAGAGGACTCCACATTTGAGCCCAGGCTGAGCAGCTTAGCAAAACCCTGTCTCAAAATAAAAAGTAACGCTGGCACATAGCTCAGTGTGAAGGCTCTGGAGTTCAATCCTCAATACCACCCCTCCAAAAAAAAAAAAAAAAAAAAAAAAAAAAAAAATAGCTTTTCCCTACTGATTTCCTGTATCACCACAGTGAAGAAATGTTTGCAGGGGACACCTGGATGCTCATCCATCTGCTAATTCCAGTCTTTTAATTGTGTGTACTCTTCTCTCCCTTATTAGCTGTGATCTCAAGATCTTCAATCCACCAACAAAATCTCTTCCGTTAAAGGCCACCAACACACTAAAATTCTTCATACTTCCTCCAGCTCCTATTCTGAAGTGATGAGTGTGAGCGCTTTGTGTGTGTGTGTGTGTGAAAGAGAGAGAGAGATCTTTGCACTGAGATATATCTCCAGGTTTTTGTTTTTAGTTTTCTGAGACAGGGCCTTGCTAAGTGGTGAAATTGCTCAGGCTGAGCTCAAACTTGTGATCCTCCTTGGTCAGCCTCTCAGAATTCTGGAATTACAGGCAAGTTCCCCGAGGCCCCAGACTAATGAGAACTTTTTGAAGCATTTACAAACATAAAACTGCCAGTTCCCCTAGGAAATCTTGTGGCTACAAATAGGTGAGAAACATCCTCTTTATTTTGCATTTGACTACCATCATTATATGCCTAAAAAATACTCTGTAGCAAAAAGAGTGCCAAAGCCTCCCTCCAGTATAATGTCACATTTTCTTTCTCATTCCTCTCCACTGTTCTCGGCTGTCCTGTCAGCGCCCTGCATTCTAAATACACACGCACTTGGTCCACGGTCCCCCCTGCACTATACATGGATGACACACATATATCTTAATTCCAGGTATGATTCTTGTCACCCCTGGCTCATCTCTCCCAGTAAAACCAACCCAACTTTGCGCTCCCAAACCCGGGTCCCCGAAGGTCGCCAAAGTGCCGGAAGTACAGATATGGTGGGCTTTCCCGCCCAGGATGTGTCCGAGAGGGCGGAAATTTGGAACAGTCCAGAAAGATTCTCCCTCAATAGTCCTAAGACAGATGTTAGTGTGAGATCCCTGTGGATAGGTACCCTAAGAGCAGCACAGGATTGGCCAACAGTACGCATTAAGCCCATTTTCGGCAACTTTTAATGGTGATACTACGCCCAGACTAGAACCACAGTGGATGTGTGGCCAGCCAACCTCTAGGCTCCTGGGTTGGGATCCCTCTCCCTCCACTCACCCCGGAGTTACACCCCACGTCGAGCCCCAAGATCGGCCTCGTCTCAGGACCATCGAGAGGGAAAAGCCGTCGAAGCAGCTCCGGGGGCAGGAGGCGGAGCCGCTGTTCCGGAGGGTAAAAGTGGGAATAATAAGGGAAATTTCCGAACGGAGCAGCCCCAGGTTCCAGAACTCTTCGATCCTCCTCTGCCTTGGCCTCCTCACCGCCCCCTTCAGCCAGTTTCGCCCCCGACGCCATTAGCTTGAGTCCCTCCTCTGGTTCCAGGCGGAAGCGGAAGCTGGGCACCTGGGGCAGTCGTGGCGCCAGCGCGCCTGCGCCCAATGAAAGCAGGGGTTGGGTAGCTGGAGTGCGGTGGGTGGGTGAGGGAAGCTTCTGACCCTGACTGTTTGCTTTGTATCCCGCGCTATACTGACCTGGAGGCAGGCTGCGTTATCTGGTTGAACCCTGGCCACACCTAGTAGGATTGGCGGTGTCAGGAGGCAGATACTGAGAGGTTAAGTGGTTTGCACACGCTCGGCTTGAAACTGGCTCCTTGACCAGAACAAGTATCTTGTTGGGAGCTTGGAAGACGGTTTAGGTCCCGCCCTTTTCCAAGTTGCCCAAAGTGGCACAGAGATGATTGTGTTACGATTTGGACGCAGGGGATTCGGCTCCAGATAGTGCTGGCAACATTATTATTCTTAGCCTGTAATTTTCTGTGCTTACCCTAATGCAGTGCACGAAGACACTCAACAAATATTCGTTGCGTGAAAATAGAGGATTTAAACAGCTAACTAAAACCAGGTCTGCTTGGGAAAAATTAAAATGGAAGAGAGAGAGATAACTAACCGAAAGAGACAATGTGGAATGGAGGTATGAAAGATGTGGGCTGAGCCAGAGAGATTAGAGGGAAAGAAACAAACAAAAACAACAAAACAAAAAAACCAAACTGGTAAGGAGAGAAACTGAGGAGTCAGTTTAGGCAGCACATTCAAGTTAGAAACCAGCATCCCCTGGCATCTAGTGCCGACGCCTCCCTACGTGACCGGCCCCTCTTAAAGGGACGTTTTGCTACTTAAGGCAAGCGATTTGCTAAACATATTAAGGACTAAAGCATGACTTGTAGATAGGCCATCAGAGGTTAAATAGACCTTATCTCTTGCAATTTTCGCTTGTATGTACTTTCATGTCTCTGATCTGCGCACTATAAGATTCAAGGACATAAGTCAATGACTAAAGGTCACAGTGGAACGAATAAACCACAGCATTCTGCACAACTTCCAGGAAAGGAAGGAGAAAAACGGCAGCGTTTTTTTCACTTTTCAGTTTTTGACAGGATTTTGGTGAGCTGAGCATCCTTTTTGTCACTAGATGGCGATAACACAAACACTTGATTGCACTCAGTTTTCAGAGCTGAAATCATCTCGCTTTTCTAAACACTTTTGTTGGCTTAAGTGAGCATTTTTTTCTCTTCTATTTTTGGTTTTCTGAGATAAGGTCTTACTGTGTAGCTCAGAATGGCCTTGCACTCACTGTGTAGCCCAGGTTGGCCTCCAATTCGTGGCAAGCCACCTGCCCCACTGCCTCCGGAGTGTTTTCAGGCATGTGCCACCGTGCCTGGTGGGTTTTTATTTTGTTTTTTTTCTGTTTTTTCGAATTGAACCCAGGACTTTTTTTTTTTTTTTTTTTTTTTTTTTTTGCAGTACCGGGATAGAACTCAGGACCTCGCACTTGCCAGGCAGGTGCTTGTGCCACTGAGCTAAGCTAAATCCCCAGCCCAAACCCAGGACCTTTATACTGCGCTGTATCCTTCGTTTTTTCTTTTATTTTTTTCTTTTGAGACAGCATCTCACTAAATTGTCAGTCTTCTTGCCACAGCCTTCCGTGGTGATGAGATTGCAGACATAGGCCCATTATGCTTGGATTTTTTTTTTAATACCAGTAAAGAGTTTCATTTTATTAAGGACATGGGCATGATTTGAATTCTCAAAACACTTCACCAGAAGAAAGAGATGGGTGTGTTACAGGCCCAAATGCATGCTTGACCTGATCATTGGGATGTTCAACGGGAGCAAAGGTTGGTACAGAACTGATAATGTTACTGGCAATCTAAAATGCCCCAGAGGTGACCATATAAAGAGTGATTTTTTTAAAAAAAGGGCGCTCTTTTTACAGATCCTTATCAGCCCAGGTTACCTGATAATATTTAGCTTCTGGGGAAAGGATAACCAGCCCTTCTGAGTAACCAGCACCAACACCTCAGACAGCTACAGAAACATTTAAGAACTTGGTCTACACTTCAGTCTGGCAGTTTTGGAACCTAATCCTTAGGCAATTCCTAATGTGTGGGGAGGTGGTGAGACAGAAGTGTCTTCAAATAACAAATTACAAATATAAAAATAAGAAAATACGATGACAAATCACAACAAATTTCAAATTTTTAAAAATGAACATGGATTTAAAAAAAATGAATGTGGATCAAAATGTAACAAAAAGTTCCCACACTACAGTGGTTTTGTAGCAAAAAATGCCTTCCCCCCAGCCAGTATACTTTCCTGTTTACAGTTCCTGTTATTTCTGTTTCTTAGAAGTGACTGGTCACTGTGATGCATAGCTGGTCACTATGATGCATATTGTAAGAACTAGTCAAAGACAGTCAAATACTGTGCTTCTTGCTTGCAACTTATAAAAAACTCTGCTCCCCATAAGCGCCTGCCTTGCAAGTGTGTGGTCGTGAGTTCGATCCCCAGTACCAATAAAAAAGAAAAAGACAAAAATAAAAAAAATAAAAATAAAAACAAAGAAAGAAAAAAGAAAAACTCTGCTCCCTGAGCCTTTGAGGTTTGACATTTTTATAAGGATTGATTCCTTGTCAGTGCCTGCTGATATAAAATAAATCTGCCTTCAAATCCTGGGTGATGTTTTAGGTGTTTCTGCTTGCTGTTGCAGTTTGATTAATTAAATGCCAGTCATGCCTAAACATTAGTTTTTCCTTGCAATTTTTGGCTGCATAGTGTTTGATTATTTCTGTGTTTGATAATACCATTTAGTGAGAGAAACTAGAAAGATAATTCAGTCTTATCATGGTGGATTGAATTTGACTTTTTAAAATTCAATAGGTAAGATTGAAGAAATAAAGTTAAGTAGAAAGTAGACAAGACAAATCAGAATTTTAAAATTGTACTTTTAGGAAAATTTGTGGTTTTAGAACACAGAAGCTACTCAATCCTTTTTTTCCTTCCAAGAAATTAACTCAAAAAAGAAAATTCCTAAGGCTCCTAAAGACACAAACAAGCCTGTAAACTGGGCTCTGGGCCTGTGCTTTTCACCTATAAATTGTGGCCACCCTATCCCAACTTCAAACACATCTGAATGATTTGTATTCTAACATAGTGCACCAGATGAGTAATGTGACAGAGGAGGAATACACATTTTAGATCATGAATCTTGAAGACACCTCTAAGATTCCATATATCCAGTTCCAGATTATAAGGTGCTCTCTTTTGAAGGCCAGCATTCTATTTCTTGGAATGTGCACCTTTAACTTCCTGTCTAATAAATGCTGTTATGCCTCTTACCAATGTGTCCTGAAAATTGTTTTCCCTTGATGGAAGTCAGTAAACCTGCAACTTAATTCTACCAGTAGAGTGGGTTTAGTCCCTGTCCAGTGACAGAAGTCATACGGATTGATGCCAAATGGAGTATACTTCTTGTTTTGTTTTGAGTTTTTGTTTGTTTACTTGAGATAGGGTCTTGCTATGTAGTCTGGATTGGTTTCAAATTTGTGGTGATCCTCCTGCCTCAGCCTCCTGGTGCTGGGATTACAGGCCTGAACCACACCAACTGTTTTCTTCTTTTTTTGAAATGGGAGTCTGGCTATCTAGTTCAACCAGGCTTTAGGCTTGTTATGTAGCCCATGCTGGCCAGCTTCTTATCTTAGCCTTCTGAGTGCTGGAATTTCAGGCATGCACCACCACACTTGAACTTATGGTGTGTATTTCCCAACTAAAGTTCTCCATTTTGAGTCCCAGAAATGTGTATGACCACTCCTGTGCCTTCCAACACAAGAGCAAAGGGGGAGAAATCAAACTGAAGTAATAGTCTTAACCAATTGCGATAAAATACCTTCACTTTTTCAAATTTTACAGAAAAACAAACGGCAGGGAGTTTGGTATTGTGCTTTTAATACATTAATTCATTTTTTCTGGTCTAGATTTCAAGTCCTCCTTGTTTCCATGCTGGCATTTTCCATGAGGAAGGTAAAATGGAAACAAGAATATTCCTCACCTTTTATCTTTCTCCCAAGATACATTTTAGATTTCAAGGGGCCCTTTAAACAATATAATAATCTTTTTAACAGACCTTCTTTAGCCTACTCGCCACAAGCTGAACCATTTTCTGTCCCTTTTTGAAGTCCTACAGGCCCTGCAGGTGATTAACAGTTGATCTCATCATGATCTGCTTCTTGGAATCCTCCCTTTTTCCCTTCTCTGAATAAATCATTTTCATTGCATCAGTCTGAATTACTGGTTACAAGCAACAGACAGTGGCTATTATTGATATGCAAGAAAAGAATTTATTAAAAGGATGTTCAAGGGTTCATAGATTGTAAAAGCAAAGCACGACAATCAGGCTTGAAAAGAGAAATCAGAGGAGTCATGGTGGCTCACGCCTGTAATCTCAATACTGAGAGGTTGAGGCAGACATATCACAGGTTTAAGTTCAGCTTGTACAAGTGATGTAGCAAGACCCTGTCTCAAAAACCAAAACAAAACAAAACAGCTGAGATGTAGCTCAGTACAAAGGATCTGAGTTCAATCCCCAGTACCACCACTACCGAAAGAAACAAAAACAAACAAACAAACAAAAAAAAACCCCCACTTTTTTTCTTCTCTGAAACTCCAATAATAAGAGTAAAGGTCACAAACCCTCCCACAATGATGAAGAAAATGGGAGAAAGGGCAGTAGTAGCAAAGTGTGGAATACTAGAAAGTGAGCACCACCAGTCAAGAGAGTTGAGTCCTAAACCATTTAGGAGGAAATCAAGAAGCAACACAGTTTGCACTGGGGGATTCTTCTAAATTTGAGGAACTTGTGGCAGTGGACACTTTGGTATATGACAAGTAGATGTGTCTCAAATACAGAAATTTCCTGGATGTGATGACAAATGCCTATAATCCCAGCACTTGGGAGACTGAGACAAAAAAAAAATTATGAGTTTGAGGGCAGCTTAGACTACATAGCAAAACAAACAAACAAAAAACCAAAAACCAGAAAGTATTTTTTCAACAGTATTCGAAC